TATTAATTTTTTTTTCTAGTCATTTTAGAAAAAAGTAACTTTGCATAAAAAGTTTTGCATAGTCTACTCTACACCCTAAAATTTAATCATCTGATATCAAATTTTATCAGTCGTTTGTCGAAAATAAAGGTATTTTATTTTGAGCAAAATCATATTTTTTGACAAACTTTGTAACCGACTGATAAAATTTGATATTCGGTGGTTGCATTTTCGGTTAGACCATGCATAAATTTTTATAAAGAATAACTTATTTTCGTAAAATGAATAATAAAAAAGTTTTCTATATGCTGTCAACTTACATAAACATACTGTGTGTATGCAACTTATGATATATTGCTGATAAATATTTCAGACATTGTTTTTGTAAGAAAAAAGAACTTGAATTAATCATAAAATTTTACTTCATTTGTACAGTCGTAATTTATGTTTTCATATTAAGTTTTTATTCTCACTTTTTTGTCAATTCAGAATTACAGTACCATTTTCAAATAATAATAAAAATTACGTGTGAATTTTTGGTTGATCAATAAGAAAAATAAGCATTTTTGAAATATTAATAACTAAACACAAATTAAACAACAAATGAATAAAAAATCATTTAAAATACGTTGACTGTCAAAGCGAATTTTGTGGTCGGGTCCGCTAAGCCGAAGTAGTTTTTCTAAAAATTAAACTACAATATTCAATAGAAGCGTGAATAAAATATATACAGGCGGCGCGGGATTAAATTATTACAAACATATGCCGCGTGTATATATTCTATGTATGCCTTAAAAACAGGTAATAAAGGACGGTCCTGTCGTCAATAACAATATATTTGTACCAATCTATGCAGAAAAGACTTTTGTTGGAAGATAAATCTGTTTTTCTTGGTAAAAACTATTTTGTGTTGTCACAATAATTTTTTATAAAAAATGAAAAATAATTTTACTTTTGCCTAATAAAACCTGCAAAATGAATTTAGTACATTTATTTTCCTTTATGTACCTAGTTGTTTAGTTAGTTATTTATTTATGAGAAAAAATACTTTATGAACGGAAATAAAATGTTGTCACATATAATTATGTAACAAAAAATAGGAAGATATAACCAAACAAACTTAAATTAATATTCTTAATTTCACGCCTATTCAATAGATTCCCCATAAGAAATGCACGGTACATGTGCATATTTTATTCGCTCCGTGCGAAGTCATGGAAAGGGGAGCAAAAGCGATACTAGCGCTAGCTGCGGATAATTCGTGCATTTTAGGGGGTAAAAACAACACAATAAGCAACCGGAGTTGCTGTGTTGAAAATTGTACAAATACTAGCAAAAAAAAACAGTGAAACTTATATAACAAATTTCACTAACAAAGTGGAAATTAAATCAAAGCAATAAATGGATAGGTGTACAATAAGAAGAAAAATTACCTTTATTTTTGTGATAATAACAGTAATGCTGGAAATAGTAGACATCAGAAACTAGAAAGTTTTTAAATAAACAATAAATTATCATTTTACGATGTTCTTTAATATCCCTTTATTCTTAAATGTTCATTCTGCAAAGACTAGATTTCAAGATTTCTGCCGTTGATTATAACATTTGGCTGGTATGCAATTTTGTGACTTACTGATCGGAAACCAGTTTTAATCATTCATTCTATGTTTTCTTTAGAACAAAAATGAAAATATAAGTAGCTATCCTTTTTATACATTTTAACTTCACGCTATTATAAATGGTTTCTTCAATGACAACTTATTAGACTTAGGCAACTTCTCATACATTTTCCAGTAAATACTGTTGCCTGCCTATATTTTATTATTGATTCTTAATGATTATACATAATTTTCTTCAATTTAAGCGTGAAAAATATATAATAATAATAAATTAATGTTTTAATTGTTTTATAAATCCACATACTTTTATTAAAACTAACATATATACTTTTTATTTACGAATTCTATTAAAAATTGTATTTGTCAGTATAGGCAGAAATACTCCTTTAATACCAAAACAAATTGGCGCTGCTGTCGCGCACGGAGCGAATAAATACGTGGCCTGAAATCAAGCGCTGCTTTTGAATAATATGTATGCACATGGCACGAAGGGAAAGTTGGGTGTGAATAATATATTTAGGTTGTGCCATTAGTGCGTAATTTTTCAATATTTTTTATATTATAGACAAGAAAACAAGTTTTAAATAAGAGTTATATGGATTTCAAAAATGGGTATTTTAAAAATATTTTGAGACATACAGGGTGTTGCGTTTTTGCCTGACAAATAAAAAGGTATGTTTTAAAATGCTTTGGTAATACTATATTTAACCCTAGAATTTTATTAACAAATATTGCAGGGTTGCCAAGCAATTAATTTTTTTATGAAATTAAGAGATTGATGCAGACCGCAAAATAAATTTAATATAATTTAGGTAGGTTTACTATAATTTCAAAATTGTTCAAAATACAGACATACGATTCTAAACTAACGAATAGTGGTGATAGAACTGGATTATTTTGTACAGTTTGGAAAAGGAGTCTATAATATGGCTAATTTCAAGTTACATTTTTTCAAATGCCACACCCTGTATATTATTTAAGCATACAATTTCTTATAAATTTATCTATCTAACGATACCAACATGTTAGCAAATAACACTTATACAGGCGGTGTCCCATGAGTGCGTAATTGATCGATAGCAGTTTTATAATTGGAAATACGAAAAAAAAAAAATTAATATAAAAGCTGTAGGACCATATTTAACAATTATTCTTAAATATATAGGGTGATCCACAAACGATTGTCTGAACAAACCTATACATATTTAAAGCAAAACACCCTGCAGGTAGTTATACATATTTGATTGGTTTCACATCGTCATACAATAATTTAAATTTCATTAATTGGCTATGTTGTATATAGGGTGTGTCAAAATGCGAGGTTACGATTTTCTCAATTTTTTAAATGGAATACCCTGTATGTTATACCACCAACTAATTAATACAGGGTATTACATTAAAAAAATTAATACAATACAATAATTTCAATTTCATTCATTTGCTATGTTGTATTTAGGGTGTGTTAAAATGCGAGGTTACGATTTTCTCAATTTTTTAAATGGAATACCCTGTATGTTATACCACCAACTAATTAATACAGGGTATTCCATTAAAAAAATTAGAAAATCTTAACCATTTTTAGCGATAGCAGAAGATATACAGTATCTCTACGGAAGTCTGCTACATAATTTTATTTCCGAGGCTACCACATGGTACGAGATGATGAAGACAAATGATTCAAATAATGCGGTTTTAAATGAATCTGTTGTTGAATACGCAGATGTAATTGCTCAAGCTATTCCTTTTTGCCTGCAGTATGTGAGGCAATCAATATTGCTTTGACTATTCCAGCAACAACATTTAGTATTGAACGTACATTTAGCACGTTACGACGTGTCAAGATGTGGAATCGCTCAACGATGAGATACGCGAATCTAAACTAGAGGAGAATACTGAATTTATTGACAAGGTGATGAACAAATTTGGACAGCAACCTAGACGCCTTCGGTTTTTATTCGAACAGTAACTTAATAAAAAAATTAAATTTTTTCTATGTATTGAGGAAAAGAAAATTAAATATCGACAAACCGCAAAAAAACGAATGGGTATTGATTAATGTACACGCTTGCTTCTGAGTCACCTTTCGCCGAGGTGGTGCAGGATAATTTACTTCATGTACTCTGATACGCCCTATTTCGAATAAAAATAGCGTCCAAGTTGCAAGACTATGTCGCTACCCCCTTAAATATACAAGAATTTACCACTGGCACCTATTGTTTGACAGGTCGTTGGAATGCCTAATTCGCAATTCAAATTAATTTTCGCGCGCCTATCATCTGTCACCTATAAGTAGGATGTTTATTTACATGTGTTTGCTTTGGGCGGATTTTGTATTTGTGATTTTTTTAACTATTTTTAGATAATATTCTCATTGTAATAGTATTTTTGAATTTCATTTAGTGTTAATTTAAGTTTATTTCTCGTGCTTTCGTCATAAATATAATATTTATCATATGAATGACAATTTGTTGGAAATATTCACCTATTGGTTGCTACAAGAACATCTAGAAATATGTATTTAGTAAACCCAGGACATGTTTTATTATGTGGTTTAAAGGACATTTAAGGTACCAAACGTTTATTATTGATGAACTTATTTAAAAATCTTACTACCTTATTCTTATATTAAGAAGTGAATTGTGTCGTACTTTGTATACATGTAAATGGTAATAGAACCGTCACAAATCAGATTACAGTTTGATTCTAAACAAAGTTTGACAAAATTTCAAAACTGTGAATTTGTAGATATCCATTTATCATAAGAAACAAAATTTTAAGACTTGCACTTGGAAAATAATGAATACTTCAGTTTTAATTTTGAAATTAACACAATATAGATTGCAATTTGCTGGGTATTTTTTTCGCATACTTCATTTTTAATATAAACACTATCAGATACTATAAGAAATAAACAAATTTAAAGCTAAAAAGTAAGAAAAAACTCGAATTGTAATTGATACAAATTAAAAAGTAAACAATGAACACGAACGCCAATGTTGCCAAATGATGAACTGATTTTAAAACAAAATTAATAAATAAACTGAAATTTAAAAAAAAATCAATATAATAAATCGGTTTTATAAAAAAATCCTTATATAAAGTATGATTACATATTACTAGACAGAAATTTTGATTCTTAAATAAAAGGTCTTATCCACTTCTTCAAGAGCTAAAATCCGATGACGTAGCGAAATTTTGCTACTTCTGGCAACACTGAACGATATTCTACTTATAAGGACCTTCTACAAATTTCCTCCAGAGGGCGTATCACTTAGCTTGAATCACGAATAGATACTATTTTCACTTCTCACAAAAAATGTCCCAATACAGTGGCGTGCACCATTATCTATCTACCTATTATTATTGGTACTATTTATTTTGGTAGAAAAATAAAAGACAGTTAAAATTATTGACGTTTAAAAACTATTTTGTACATTTCACGTTACATTCACAATTTCTGTTTTTACAGCTTTTTCAAAATCTATAATTTGATACCACATTGAATTTCAGACAGCATGGCCGCAGAAAATTTCAAGGCGCATCTTTCGTTGGGGGCTAAATGTTGCATTACCACCTTTTCTACGCCATTGGCGCCGATGACTGCTGGCAAAGAGAGGAACACTTCGTAATCTAAACCATGCCGACCCTAAAAACCATAAAAAAACGATTAGTTAGTTAGATTTCTAATAGCTATTTTTAAGAAACATATTTTTGACTTATTGTTATTTGTTGAAGGTTATTATGTAAGCAGGTGAGATTGAATAATGCACATAAGACATTCTCAAGCCCTGTCAAAGTTTATCAGGTCCGAAAATTTTAATGAACGTTGTTTCAACCGGCTAAAAGTCTTTTAAAAATGTTTGGAGCTCATTGGGTGTATTATTTGATTATAAAGTCAAGAACATTTTGACCTCTGAAATATTCCGTATCTCCATCTGGTATTACCCGAGCTCTTTTGACACCGTATCGAAAAGTAGTGACGTAAATCATAATAAATAATATGACGCCCAAGTCTAAGACGTCACAATTAAGTACAATTTTCATAGCTAAATAAGATTATAGAAATCCCTAATAACTAAATAAATTTACACTCAAATTTACCATGAACGCTTTTAAAAATTTAGAATAGATTTTTTTACCTTAACCATAACGGAAACAGCATGTACATTATGTTGATTCGTCAAAATTGTATTCGTTAGGGCAGCAGCGCTGAGACCAATCGCCCAATTGGTGAATCCTTTCAATTTGATAATTTGATAGGCGGCATCGATAACGTCCTTGTGGACCTTCTTCCAAAGCTCTGGATCATCGTCGTCTCCCATTTTGGGAGCGATGTCCTTCAAACGGACTCCGGCTATATTTACGCCCGACCAAACGGGAACTGAAAACAAGAGGTTTCATTAGGAGTAATTTAAAAGACCGTGACACTAATATTTGAGGTTATGTTACGGTTTTTAAATAAACATTTATAAACATAAATTAAGTAGTAAAGTACCACACAGAAAATTTGGAAAAACAACAAAAAAAATAGTAAAATATCAACCAAACGTTGTCTATAAAATTGACTGTAATTTCACTTACACTGGACAAACAAAACAATATCTACATAAAAGAAAAAGAAAACAAAAATAATATTGCAAGTGATAATGAAAATTCCACAGCCCTAACTAAACATGCGTTAGAAAATTTGAACTCTTTCGATTTTGAAAATGTAAGAATTCTCGAAAATGAACCGAATCTCAACAAAAGAACAATCCTTGAGATGATATATAATAAAAAAATAACTCTGTAAATAATAAAACGGACATAAAAGATTTGTCAAACGTTTATTTTAATATTATTAAATGATTGTAAGCTTTCTAATCCTTAACTGTAACGCCACTGGTAATTTTTAACTTTGTAAAAACTCATCTTTTTGTTTCCCTACTTTATCGTTATCGTGTTAAACCAAATCAATATTATTTCGAATACAACTTCACACGCTGAAACAGAAAGATGGGGTTCTGTTATTTTAAAATTTTTTAAACTGTAATCGTCCCCATGTGTTTTTTTTATTTTTTTAAATTTTGACTGCAATCGAAGATGGAAATAAATTTTCCGAAACATATGTAGTGCTGTGCTAAATAATAGAAAATAAAAGCATGACCGAATAAACCAAGGAAATTTTTATTCTTATATTTAACATGATCGTGGTTGATGTAAGTAGATGCTTTATGTACATTTTTATAGATGAGCATAGAGATAAGTAGAAATAGGTCTAGGGTCGGTAAGATACTCACCACTTGAATCTCCATGCTCTCCGATGATCCACCCGTGGACGCTGGACGTACTACAGCCCAATCGCTGGGCAATCAAGAATCTGAACCTGGATGAATCCAAATTGGTGCCGGAACCAAAAACTCTGTTCACGGGCAATTTGCTGAGCTTCCAGGCTACGTAAGTCAAAATATCGCATGGGTTACTGACTATTATGAGGATGGCGTCCGGCGAATGTTGACAAAGAGCTGGTATAGTGGTTTTCAATATGTTGGCGTTCCTTTGAACTAGATCCAAACGGCTTTCGCCTTCTTGTTGTCGAACGCCGGCGGTCACAATGCACACCTTAGAACCAGCCGAACTTTTAAAATCTAAAAACAAAAAAAATATGTAAATAGTTGACAGGGTGTTTTTAAAAGACACATACATATAAAAACTGGTTAATTTTTGGAACATTCTTCGAATTCACAAACATATTTTTTTAAAATTATATTAAGTTTTAAAAATCGATTTTAAAATGGGGTGTCTACCATTGCCATATTGAGGCTGGTAATGATACTAGGTACTAGTACTTAACTGTTGTTCTGAGGACGATAGAAGATTGACCTGGGAAATATCATTTGACGAAGGCAGCACCGTATTAAACCGCAAAATTATTTTTTATTCTTCGGTGTTCCGCTTTGCCGAAAATCTGTGTGAGATTCCAATAACTCTACATCCTAGACTGAGGCTAGGCTTTTTTGGCTCCATGACAAAACAGCGCAGGACAAAATAGCGCAGGACAAAATAGCGCAAAGACAGAATAGCTCAAGGATAAAATTTCGCAAGGACAAAATAGGGCAAAGACAAAATAGAGCAAGGACAACTATAATTGCTGTCACTATTTTAATTTAAAATATTCGCATACAATTCTAAAGTTAGTTTTTTTTCTCCTGGACTCGTCTGACTATGTCTCCAAATAACACTGAAGCCCTGGCTTATTGTGTTTTACCCCATGTTAGTTCATAGCACCCACTCTGTCACCTTTGTACCTTGTACAAGTTTGTACAGATCCTTGGGTGAGTGGGTTCTATACGTTGTTGAATCAAACTGAGGTTGTCCAAAAAGTGCCGGTCTTTTGCGATCTAGAGCTTCGCATTCGCACAGTATGTGTTTGGCAGTTTCTGGTTTCTTGTGACATACTCGGCACATGAGTTTTCCATTGTACATGCCAATTTTGTTTAAGTGTCCCTTTACTGGGGCGTGCCCAGTCATAATAATAATAATAATAATAATAATAATAATTTATTTACCAAAAATAATATAAAAACAATGTATAATGTATATCAAGTTCGTTCGAGATAAATAAACAGAAACTCCCACAAAAAGAATCCTTGAGCATGGGTTATTATTGGTTATTTAGGACGAGCAGTCTTAATAAAACACAATATTACAATATTATAAAAAAATGAAAAATTATACAAAAATAATATTTGGAATAATATGAAAAACTGTTACGTAATACTAAGTTTAATTTAATATTAATATTTACATTTTATCAACTATTTTTTTTTTCCTAGACAAATTATTAAATTGAACTAGTAAACCAGACTATAACATTCGTTATTTGTTGAAATAAAACGTTGCAGATTCGCAGTAGGGATAGAATATATCCATTTTTTTATTTTTACTTTGAATAGATTTAGGGAATAAATGCTCTTTAATTCTAACGGTATTTCATTATATAATTTGGGACCCAGGTAAGCATAACTTGTTTGCCCTATAGTTTTTTTGGCTTTAGGTATTACAACATTATTTAATTTATATCGAGTTGCGTGGTCATGACTTATTGATAGTAAAGTGTGTTTGTCTTTACGTTGTTTTGTAATAATAATTTTTGCAAATAACTGATAAATATCTAATACTCCAGCTTCTTGATAAAGATCTATTGTTGGGTGAGTTCATGAACCCTGTTATCACTTTCAACCTGGTTCCTATTCATAAAGAGTAGTTCTGCAGTTCTTTTGGGACGTGGTCTGCCTATAAAAGCTTTTCCATGTGCCTGTTTTGGGGTGCTTCCCCAATAGTTAATATGTTGTTCCCGAATCCAGTCGTTTATGAAACCCCGGACTCTACTTTTTGATACTTCTGGGTTTGTGTCTGGTTCCGGTGTTTCTTCTGACCCTCTTTTTGAAGTTCGTCAACCTTTTCGTTGCCTTCGATCCCTTGGTAACCTGGCACCCAGTTTTACTCTATTTCGGTCTGCCAGTGTTCTTAGTTCTTCGATGTTTTCCCATACCAGCCTCGATGTAACTTTCTAAATCAAAATGGCCATAAGTGCCGCTTGGCTGTCTGACATTATTTAAATATGCTGATTTTCGACAGCTCTTTCATTGTTCGTTTTTGCACATTGCAAAATTGCTTATACCTCGGCCTGAAATACCGAGGAATATATTCCTATAGCAAAGCTATGGTTACTATCAGGGTTTTTGGAGAATACTCCTGCCCCAGTGCCTTCCGCAGTCTTAGAACCGTCTGTATACCAGGTTTGTTTCTGTCGTTGGGCATTGGGCTCCCTTATGGTGATCTCCGCTCTTTCCTGTATTAAAACCTCAATTGGAGTATTAAAAGAGTACCTCTTGGTTATGTGGTCTGATCTCATGTCTAGCACGTCTCCTGTCACTAACCTTGAGATACTCATGTGACCTGGCCTAATATCAAGATTTCCAGTGTATTCCCTAATATGTAAGCACCTAATCTTGCCTTCCCTTGTATCACATAGTGAAGAGGTGGAAATCCTATTAGTGCTTCCATTGCAGCAGTGGGAGTTGTTTTTATTGCCCCCGTTATTCCAAGGCAGGCAAGTCTTTGTACCTTGCTTAGCCTCGTTATTGCTTTCCTTTGCTGTGTCTTTAGCTACCACACCAAAGCTGCTTATGTTATTATCGCTCTCACCACCATGTTATAAAGCCAATATACAATGTCTGGTTTTAACCCCCATTTTTTTTCCAAAGGATCGCCTTGCCATCATTAACGAGCTTTCCGCTCTCCTTGTGTTTTTTTCAAGATGCTAGTTCCAGGTAAGTCTCGAGTCAATCATAACCCCGAGATATTTTACCTCCCTCTTCATCATCATCATCTGAATTAGGGCCCTTAAGCTGGATGCTTGCACCTCTTAGGTTTAGAGGCCCTAGTCCCTCCAATTTTCTCCTGCGGGTTACTATACTTACTATATTTAGAGTCTCTTGCATTCGATCTCTTACTAAAGTGTTGTATTTTCCCTGTGACATGATCACTAGATCATCGGCATATCCCAGGGTTCTATGTCCCTTATCTTTGAGAGCCCTAAGCAGCCCGTCCACTACAAGGTTCCACAGGAGTGCAGACAGCACTCTACCCTGCGGACATCCTCTCGCTACCCGTGCCGATATTTTCTCTCCCATAAGGGTTGTGTGTATAGTTCTCTCTCTTAACATAGAGTCGACCTTGGACACGCACGTGTCCTCGATTCCTCTGTGTTTGAGAGATCTACTGATCGATTTAACGGAGGTATTGTCAAATGCACCCTCAAAGTTAAAGTTAAAATTAAAAAGAGGATCTTCGCGCGTTCCTATGTTTATATGAACTTTTACTCCTATTTTAGCATGTAGATTACACTGTTAAAATATGATCGTCTAATTTCGGAACACCCTGTATACTAGGTACTACCCGTTTTAATATGTACATGTCTCAAAAAGAAAAAGGAAAACTTTTTATTGTGTATGTTAATATTTGAACAACTTGTATGAAGTCAACATAAGTAATCAAATGTTTTTTCAATAAAATTTTAACCCACATTATGTTTACCTTTGCTCGCGTGGATTTTTGGGTTGTGCAAGAACAGAGATCCATGCTGAAGGTCCATCATTTCCCCTTTCAGTCTATCTTCCATGACATCAATAAGGCAAATATCATTAGAAATGCCCTGAAAAAAAAGCACTTCATTGTGGTCATTTCCTTTTCTTTAAAATTAGGATCATTCCAAAAACAAATTAAAAAATACATAAATTTATAAATGATATAAACTTTATGAATCCCAAGTTTTAAGTTTTGTAAGGATTTAATTTTTTGGAAGACTTCGAAGTCATAATGACATCATCCATTTTAGGATTCTTGCGAATATGATTAAAGCTAAAAAAATATTATACAGATACTATATTGTAGAAACCAAATAATAAAGAGGACTGTCAGATCCTTTAAAATGCTTCCATGCTTTAAAATATTTCCGCGAATTTAATTTCTATAGGTATGTTAAAGAGGAAAAATAAGAAAAGTTGAAGATTATGTGAATTATTATTACAAAAAAAAAACAATACAGCAAAGTGTACTTTTTTCTATTTAATTGTTCATGTTTTTTAAATAAAACCTACCTTCTTGACAATAGTGTTTACATTTTGAATGATAAACATGTTATTTAAGCACTAAAGCTATTGATAAAAAACCAATAAAACGTTTTATTGAATTTTCATAATACCATCTGAGAGTATTATTTAAAAATAACATAGGCAGAATAAAAAACGTCAAAATTATATATATTTTTTAAAGTTTGGTGTCATTATAAATTAAGAACTATTTGAATGCAATAATGGCAAAATAATAAAACTTAACCCTAGATAGGTCGCACCTTATAAGTACACTAATGCGGTCGCTGCGGGTCACCTGAACCAAATAAATTTATTCGATTTTTTTACAAATTTAAAAAAAGTAAATTGGGTGCAATCGATAAAAATTAATACCCTGTATTACCACCTCGTGCTCTAAGTACTGCCGGACATCGACGTGGCATACTTAAAATCAGGTTTTGCATCAATTGTTCCGGAAAATTGTCTCATTCCTCGGTTAGAGCATTTTGAAGTTGATTTAAGGTGTTAGGACTTCGAGCTAACCAATCCAATGTGGGAATAACAACTTCGTTAAGGTACTGACGAACAATTAAAGCTGTGTGCGGGCGAGCGTTGTCTTGCATAGAAACAAAATTGTCACCAATGAATGGACCTTAAGGTACAACATAGGGTTCAAGAATGTCCGATACATATCTTGCAGCTGTTAAATTTCCTCACACAACAAGTACTAATTCTGTACGAGCCGCAAAAGAAATTTCTCCCCACATCGTTACAGAGCCACCACCAAAAGGTTCCGTTTCTCTGATGTTACACTGAAACTATCGTTCGCCATCACGCCTGTAGACTGGAATTCGTTAATCGGATGAAAACACGCTGAATCAAATTCATCAAAAAACAGAACAGTGGACCAATCGTTTATATCCCAATTCACATGATTTCTGGCAAACTCCAACCGTGCAACACGATGCTCCCTGGTAAGGCGTGGACACAAATCGGCCACCCTGGGTCTAATTCCTCCTTCCCGAAGACAATTTTGTGTGCACAGAAATTCTTGTGTTGCGGCCAACGGCTAGTTCGTTTTGGAGCATTCGCGCTGTACAGTATCAAGTTCGAGGAGCGGTTATTGTTAAAAATCGGGTGTCCGCTGCTGTGGTAACCCTTGGACGACATTGGCCAGGCCTTCTGTCGTATTGCCCTATTTCTCTAAAGTGAGCAGCTACCCTGGACATTGTTGATTGTTGAACATCAAAAGCATTTGCAATGTAACGTTGACTACGTCCTTCTTCAAGTAATGTAATGATCAGGTCCCAAATTTCTTCTGTGGCGGTCAGGATTATTCATTTAAATAATTTTCAAAATTAAATACCACAAAAACCAAGTTAACTTTACTAAATATTGAAAGCAACTAATCGCGAAAGTTGGTTGCAATTTCAAAGTATTAAAAATGGAGTTTGTTTTTTATTTATTAGTTATTGTAAAATAATTTGTGGTAATTTTATTAATAAAAAAAATATAAATAAATAATTTTTATTCTTTTCGCCCCTGGAGTTTTAAAAATTAACATCGTATAAATGTTTGTGACAAAGTTACTAAAAAGAAGTACAAAAGATGTTTATGTAAATGCTAATGCAAGTATTGCTGCGTACAAGAAACTTCAATTGTAGATATGCGAGGGTTGTTAATGAACATCTATGGGATAATTATGGGTTCCGGGACATAATGGGATACGGGGGTAACGAGATTGCAGATAGTCTTGCAAGGAAAGGGACTCAAACACCCTTTGTAAGACCTGAGCCGTTCTGCGGTATCAGCAGTAACATAATATTAGGAGAGATTAAAAAAGAATTGGGTAGTAGAAGAACCGATAATTGGAACAACCTCTTGGGGCTGAGACAGGCCAAGATACTTCTGGGTGAATATAACCAGAAAAGATCGGAAGCCTGCATCTGCCTGAGCAAGAACAGGCTACGTATTGTAACAGGGATTCTTACCGGGCATTGCCGACTAAAGGGACACCTAAGTAAACTGAGAGTAGTAGAGGATAGTGAGTGCAGATTCTGTGAGGAGGACGAAACCTCCATTCATATCCTAACTGAATGTGTAGCACTCCAGAATCCAAGGGCACTATATCTAGGAGGATATCAAATAGAAGAGGGAGATTTACCTAACTTGAAGCCACTTCAAATCCTACACTTCCTTGAGAAAATAGGATTGGAAGGGTCGCTATAGGCATATTTCCTTAGTGCAGGGGCGACAGAAGGGGGCACAATAGATCTTTTAGGTCGCAGTGTATTAACACCCCATTCTCAACATAACATAACATGGGATATTTAAGTTTTAAAAATATATCGAGAAAAGTCTTAATTTTTTTCCTATACATAGTTAGAAGAATAAAACCTGTTTATTTAGAAAACACATACCTGACATAGTAAACTGACCGCAGTAGCCATACCTACTGCTCCTATACCAACGACAGTGACCTTTCTAGAGGTCATGGGTTTGGGGTCAGATATGGCGCTGAAGAGATTTTTCGTGACTCCCGACATCTTGAACCTAAAATTTAGTTTAAAAAATTTCGATTACAGAAAAATGTAACACATAAGGAAATTAGACGTTTCCCGTAAATGACGTTTACGCGCTTGCTATATGATAAATTTTGAAGTATTCACAATGTCCATTGGTGCCGTTTATCAGGGGAAAGAGGCCAAGCTGCCCCTCCTGAACTCTGTTTACAAGTAATTTTCAAGACAAAAAGAAGACATGAGAACACAGAAAAATTTGTCTAAGTATCTAATCAAGAATGGGCATTAAAATTCAGCACGAATCTAATTCTCAATTAAATATTTTTTATTTAAATCCATGCATTCTTAAATTAACATAGCCGTGTTCAAATTTTGAATTAAACGCTACAAATAAGCACAAACGTTGTTAATTTCAAAATTAAGAATTTTTAGCATCCGTTCTTAAATTGAAACGTAAAGGTTGTTTAAATTAAAAATCCTAATATGTTAAATTAAGTATGGTATCTCTTAAGGTGAGAGTTTAATTGCGTTTAATTTTATTTTCTAATAAATTTGAAAACTATACAAATTAAAGAGCTAAGATTTTGTAGACGTTTTTGAAATAAATCAGAGCAGTTGCTGACGCCAATATAAATATTGTTACTTTGATAATATTAAAAATAAAAGTTTAAACAATTATAAAAAAAATGTAATACGATTTTTTCAAGGGGTCAAGCAAATACTCTATTAATATGTTATGTTGATAATGGGGTGTTAATACACTGCGACCTAAAAGATCTATTGTGTCCCCTTCTGTCGCCACTGCACTAAGGAAATGTCTCAATGCCTATAGCGACCCTTCCAATCCTATTTTCTCAAGGAAGTGTAGGATTTGAAGTGGCTTCAAGTTAGGTAAGTCTCTCCCTCTTCTATTTGATATCCTCCTAGATATAGTGCCCTTGGATTCTGGAGTGCTACACATTCAGTTAGGATGTGAATGGAGGTTTCGTCCTCCTCATCACAGAATCTGCACTCACTATCCTCTACTACTCTCAGTTTACTTAGGTGTCCTTTTAGTCGGCAGTGCCCGGTAAGGATCCCTGTTACAATACGTAGCCTGTTCTTGCTCAGGCAGATGCAGGCTTCCGATCTTTTTTGGTTATATTCACCCAGAAGTATCTTGGCCTGTCTCAGCCCCAAGAGATTATTCCAATTATCGGTTCTTCTACTACCCAATTCTTTTTTAATCTCTTCTAATATTATGTTACTGCTGATACCGCAGAACGGCTCAGGTCCTACAAAGGGTGTTTGAGCCCCTTTCCTTGCAAGACTATCTGCAATCTCGTTACCCTGTACCCCGTTATGTCCCGGGACCCAAGTGAGAGTAACTCTATTTTTCTCGCCTAGCTCATTCAATTGTTCTAGGCATCTCCATACCATTTTTGAGCTGATTACGTAAGAACTCAGCGCTTTGATGGCTGCTTGACTATCGGACATGATGATAATCTCTTGTCTATGATAGTTTCTCTCGATGTTAAACTGGATACACTTCTCGATGGCGTGAATTTCCGCCTGGAAGATGCTTGGGTATTTTCCCAAGCTTTCGGAGTGCTTGGTTCTCGGCCCATACACTCCTATTCCAGTTCCTTCTATGGTTTTGGAACCGTCCGTGTACCACTGAATAGCACGTCTTTCGGTTGCAAGCGCGATGGATTCTTGGCTCCATTCTTTCTTGCAGCCCAGCTCTGTGGTTTTAAAGTTGTTCACAAAACCGTACTTCTTTTGCATTTCATCCTGGGGCATGTCCCAGGTATCTTTAGTCCTGAAGCAAGTAGACTTTCGTCTGATTACTCCGCTCCTGATCATTCTATATCGTGTCCTTTTTGCCACATTCTCTATCATCAAATGTAGAGGGGTGAGGTTTAAGATCACCTCCATTGCGGCCGTAGGACAGGTTCTCATTGCACCAGTAATGCAAACACAGGCTAGTCTTTGTACTTTTGAGATATTAGCTCTCGTAGTAACTAAACTAGTTCTGTTACTCCAGGCTATAGCCCCGTAAGTGATGATTGGTCTCACTATTGCAGTATACATCCATCGCAGTATGTTTGGGTTACATCCCCATCGTTTACCCGCCATGTTTCTGCACACCATTAGGGCTTTTGTGGCCTTATTTACTACTTCCTTCTCATGTGTGTTCCAGAGAAGTTTGTTGTCCAGGGTTAGGCCTAGATATTTGACTTCATTTTTCCATTCTATATCTATCCCGTCTAATTTAACGGTTTTGAGATTAAGTTTTCTTTTCCTTGAAAAGGCTACTAGTGTTGTTTTTGTAGGGTTTATACTAAGTCCCACTTCACGGCACCATCTTTTGGTATGTTCTAGTCCTCTTTGGACTATATCACACAGGATATTACTAAATTTGCCACTAGCAAATATGACTATGTCGTCGGCATAACCTTGACAGGGTATGCCGAGGTCAGTCAATCTGCATAGAAGTTCGTCTACGATTAGGCTCCACATTAGTGGGGATAGAACTCCTCCTTGTGGACATCCTCTGGTTGTGCAGATGGAGATGGTGTCCTGCCCTATCTGTGTCTCTGCAGTTCTCGAAGATAACAGCTGAGCCATCCATCTGGATGTGATGTTATCTACTCCTCTGTATGCAAGTGCTCTTTTTACAGATTCGTGTGGCGTGTTGTCAAAAGCTCCTTCTATGTCTAGAAAGGCACACACGACCGTTTCTTTGTTTGTCAGTGCATCCTGGATTACATCAGTCAACTGTACAAGGGCAGTTTCTGTAGATCTTCCTGCTCGGTACGCGTGTTGGCTGTGGTGGAGTGGCACCCTCTCCAGGACTTCTGTTCTGATATAGTTATCAACAGCCTTCTCCATTGTTTTTAATACAAAGGATGTGAGGCTGATTGGACGGAAAGATTTAGGATGTGTGGTATCCTTTTTCCCTACTTTTGGAATAAAGGTGACTCTGGCCCTTCTCCATGCTTCTGGTATATATCCCAGCTCCAGACTGCTCCGGGATAGCCGGATTATGTGTGGTAGTAATTCCTCCTGTGCCTGCTGAAGCAGGGCAGGAAATATTCCATCCACACCTGGAGACTTAAACGGTTTAAAAGAGTTTACGGCCCATCTTAACCGATTTCTGCTGCATATATGCTTGGCCACTACAGCGGCCTCTCTTGGGGGTCTGCTTTTCTAATAAATTTGAAACTATACAAATTAAAGAGCTAAGATTTTGTAGACGTTTTTGAAATAAATCAGAGCAGTTGCTGACGCCAATATAAATAATGTTACTTTGATAATATTAAAAATAAAAGTTTAAACAATTATAAAAAAAATGTAATACGATTTTTTCAAGGGGTCAAGCAAATACTCTATTAATAATCAAATACACTTACTTCGAAACCAAATCTCAAATCAATGTAATAACGGAGAAAATTGAATAAAATACAAGCTGAAATTTCAAATAATATACGCGCCAAATGTTTTACCAACATTTTAGTTCAGGCACTCGTCGATAGATCTAAAAACAAGCAAGTCGAATCATTTCCAACCTTTTTCTAACAATCAACAGATGCACTGTATTCGGGGTAATGTTTTGATATGCAACAGAAGACGAAATAACGTGGGAATTTAATTTAATAGCGGCAACATTGCAATTCGTTATTCGGATGACTTTTGCACGCTGTATTTTTAAATTCACGTCCACATAATTATTTTTTACACGAAATCGTTAGAAAATTATTTTTGTGATGGATGGGCGATTAATTTGTCGGGCAGTTGATTGTGTTTCAGAAAGAAAGAAAGGTTATTCTCGAAATATTTATATATTTATTTTGTTCATTATTTAGGTAATATAAATAGCTAAAATGGCTTGCGTATTAAGTATTTTTCAGATCGGTTATGAACGTTTTATAAAAGAGTAGAGTCTCAAAAGAAACACAAAATTCCTAGCACTTTCTATAATTAAAATTCGGCATAAAGGTAAGTAAGTGTTTGGAAATTATTTCATTTTAGATTTTCTCGTTTTATTTTACGGAGCTGTGACGTGATTTTGTTTAATTTTCTTAAAAACAGTTCGAGAAAAATTAGAATTAGGTATTATTAATTAGGTACTGGATTTTTCTTTAAATTACCTAACTTTTTAAAAATTGTGAATTTATTATCGAGAAATCGCAAATAGAAATCCGAAAAGTACTTATACTTATCGTTAGTAATTCTTCTGTGCGAATTTTATTAGTTAATGATGGATTTTTATTCGATCAATAAAAACTTGGAACACTTCTTGCATTTAAACTTCTTATTAAAAACAAGAATGTAAAAAAATATTGGCTCTACTTGATGTGAGAGTCGCCTAAAAAATGTGTGCACCTTGGCCGTATGATAATTTTTATCCTAACCAGAAGTTGCAAATTTATGATTCGGCCAAAAAAGATCAACTTTACGGTCTTACTAGACAAATAACTATTTGGGACGGTTAAAATGAATGTACTTATTTCTGTTGCCTACCAATATACAGTTCCTCACAAAGGGATACATTAATTTTCTGTCTCATTAAAATCCTGTAATGTAAATTTTTATTTTTGAATGCGACAGTATTTCATTTCAATTAATTGTATAGGTACCTACTTTTTCAAACCCCTTGAACTGACAACTACCGCCTTTTCATTTTTAAATGAAATGAGTGATCATGTCATACCTCATTTTAAAGGGGTTATTACTCGTTCCAGTAATAGAAGTTTTTTAAAATTTTGACATTTTTCTTTGAAGAAGCATAACTGTAAACCCAGCAAATCTCTTCGAAAATAGCTGAACATGTTTTATAAGAATCAGAAAAATTTATTAATTTTATTTTTTTTTATAAAAAAATAAAAAGACTGCTTGTTAAAAATTAAAAAAATACAGACAAAAATCCTTATGTGACTAAATAAAGAATTAAGAACTTTTTAAAATAAGGTATCAAATCCCTCATTTTATTTAAAAATTTGAATTGGTTGCTGTCACTCCAAAGCTGTTGAAGCAAGAGGTACAGTCTGTTCGCTATACTTAAGCGGGTTTCGGATTAACAAAATTATGCAAATTAGTCATTGACAACCAGTTCCAATAAGCCACTTCCCAAGAAATTAGGTAAAATTGCCCTAATGGTCAGATTTAAATTAAAAT